TTCATTATGATGTTCGTATCGAACTTGTATCATTAATAACTATTAAGAGACCTAAAATTAAAAAAATAAATATCTACAAATAAAAATAGAATATAGAATAGAATAAAAATATTTCCCGACAGTCAAACAAGTAAGTCGGATTAAGAGTACTACCAAGAATCAGCAAAAAACTCCTCCACGACATTAATATACCCTCGCAACCAGCAAAGATTAGACAGCCTTTTTAAATGCTCTATGAGGATATATTTTTCTTATATTCAGTGGGGGCAGGTGATAAATAGTATATTATTCAACAAGCATATAATGGTAGAGCTGTTATTCACGCGGATGAAGTTCATGTTATATAAATAAAAAAAATTATCCAAGTGAATAATAGCCATTATATGCGAGTAGAATAATATACTTTATCCAGGACTATCAAAAAAATTTAGATAATATTAATATAAGTTTTTATTTTTAAAAAATAACTTTTGAACCCAAGTAGCATTTTCACGACTTGCGACCACATGTTTAGTAAACACAACGTTGGATTAGTTACAAAAAATAGTTAGCTCCCTACCTTGGGTATTAAAATAAATTTAAACGTTTTTATAACGTTGTGCCCACGTTGGACTAGTACTACAGCAAAGTAGAAGCTTCTGCGACGTCGAATAAACGTTGTCTTGTAACCTTTTTTGCTTAAGTGATCTTTAGGTGATTCGGACAACGTAGTTACAACGTTGAACAATATAGAGTTTACCGACGTCAGTTTCAGGACCTATTCCAACGTTATGCAAACGTCGTCTGTTTTACTAATTCCAACGTTGTTTAGATTTCCTTATTCTTACGTTGGTAGGACGTCGAGTCACTACCTTTTGCAACTGTATTGAACCATAACCTTAAATCTTAAATTTTCACTTCATTGTTCTGTTCAGTCAGACAGTTCAGTGCTGTTTTGTTTTTATAAAAAAACTTAATTAAAATGGGACATAAGAAAGGTACATATAAAACTAAATTTAAATATACATCGACATATATTACCGATGTTTATCCACTCCCTCGTTTATTTAGATTATAGAGGGCGGCACAAGCTAGATTCTAGGATGACTAAATTAGGCAATCTTGCGACTAGTATACTACCTGTTAAGGCCGAACTGCGACTTTATTAGTCCAGTAAGCGACTACTCGAACTACTCCATCTTAATCTCCAAAACAACAAAGTGAAAGCCGCCATGTTAAATAATAAAATGTTTCGTTCCTAAAATAGCAATTCCTGCTTTTTGAATACATTAACTTGAAATATTTGACCCTAAAAAACACGCGGAAACAATTTTTTCGACTGCGAATAAATTATTCTCATTTTACTAAAAAAAAAATTCAAGAAGATTTTTAAAATTTCTTTAATTTTAAGGCCCATTAGTATTTTTCAAAGTAGAAACAATACATTTATCAATAAAGTTGTTTGCGTTTAACTTTTTTGCCTTGGGTAACGAGTTACAGAGTCGGTTAAATTGTTTCAATAATTATGATCTTCAAACATCCTCCACACTTAAATACTTTTGTTTTGTTTTCCTTCACTGCCATCTGACATATGTCTAACTAAATCATAAAAATAATATTTTTACTATAATTATCCCAATTTAGGATAAAACGCGACTTAGACGCCATATTAGTTTTGTATTTCTGTGAATTAGGATTTTAAACAACGTTGCAGTTTGTACTAAATTAGGCTTCGAGCCAACGTCGGTATCCAACGTCGTTTCGACCCAAAAATTATTCTCCAAACTAGTGCAGACTAGGGTTGGCACGAGGTTGTGCCGACGTTGCGCCCCGACGTTTGGTCGCGTGACACAACGTTGTCCCGACGTCCAAATGCTGCTTGGGAAACCCGCCATAGATGAATGCAAAAAATAACATGAAAACTTTTAAATCGAATTTTAGAGTAGAAAATGGGGGAATTTTAACATTGTTTCTTCGTAATGGTGTTTAATAATTTTATTTACATGTCCAGATATAATATGAGATACTTGTTAAAAAGGAAAAAATATTTTAAAAATCTTATGACAAGAAAAACAACTTTTGGAACACCCCCATAGATGAATGCAAAAAGTGATATTAAAAACGAATGAATATTATTAATATTTCATAAACTCATGTATAATAATCAAATTATAAACGAGTCGTGGATAAAATATATTCTTGCCACTGAAAACAAAAGATTCGTGGACCCAACTCGATGGTGGTATGGGAAGCATAATCACATAGTTAATCACATAGTTTAAAATTATTGGTTTTATCCGCAAATTAATATTATCTTATAAGGGCAGGGTTTCGGCCCCTCCCCCCACACACAAAAGTTAGTGTCTAAGTGTCTAGTTGCGCAACTGAATATAAAGCAATAATTTATTAATTGAATTAAAGCATCCCATACAGCACATCAAATCACATTTACGATGTGTTTACATTATTAGATGTAGACACAGGGTGACACAATTCCCCCGATGTAAATATGCTACGTTTACACATTGTAGTTCGACACGTATGCATAAAGGTTAAACGTCCGCCTCACAATGTAGCCACAGTATGGCATTTACGTATAAACAAAGTAAGGGATACACAGTGTGCCGTAGGATACACAGTACTTGTGTATTACGTCTAAACTATGTTTACACATTGCAGTTGTGACTACCGCGTGTATACGTATGTATTTTGCTTCGTATATACATTTTATGCTAGATAAAACTACTTCTTATGAACGAATTTAAGAAATAATACAAGTTTTGATGCCTAACTTTTCGTTCTTTTAAGAAATATTTATTCAATGATACCAATTATATCTTTCTAGAACGAAAATTAGGAAGGCAAAACTTTGTATTTTCCAAAAGTATCTCGATCGTAAGTTCAAGAGAAGTAGCCTTAAAATTGTTCCATTTTTGTTTTGTTTTAAATGTACCATTTTTCTTCCATAAAATGGATTAAGTGGTTAAAAAATAAAATTCTTATATTTCTTTATATCATGGAAGGCAATAGCGCAAATAACACAATAATATAATAATTATTTACACTGCAGAAACCAGAAGTAAGAAAACACTGTAAAAGAACAGAATTTGTATCAAAATGTATTAAAAATATAAGTACCTAGTATAACAACATACTAAAATGGTAAACACTGGTATATCGCCACGATTTGGTGGACCTCGTTTAGTCATTTTTCAGGTTTTTCTCCTCTTTTTCCCTACAAGCAGTTGGTTTATTAGCATACTCATTCATCGAGCACTCTGTTGGACTTTGTTGTATTTTATTTCCAGATTAACAATCTCACCCTTAAATTTTATATGAAACTGATTATTGAATATTAAACATATCCGTATATTGATCCATCAATAACTTACCGAATATCAGTGTAAGAAGTTCTTTGAAGTGTTTAAATCTTTCTTTCTCTGGTCAATTTAGATTTTTATTATTTCCAAATTAAAAAAAATATATTGCAGAGCTAACTCAGCTAACCTCTTTATCATTATACGAGAATATTTGGAGTTTTCATTCATTGGAGTCAAAATTTGGTAAATTGGGTATCGAGTAAGGGAAGAGTCACTGCTATAATATTAATAATACTCTTAGGAAGGTGTAACAAAGTAATTAAAAAGTTGTACTTACCTTAAAATCTCTTTTAAACTACACACAAACAGAACATTTATATAGAGCCGAATGATAAAACAATAATGGCTGCTAAACACATACCACTCCTAGAAAGGAGAAAGGAGAGAGGACACATAAGATACACTTGGTCGGTGTGTCTACGCTGAGGCTATCCGCGCATGCGCACACATTCATTTCATGCTAGATGTAGACACAACAGTACACTATTACAAAGTGTCTATATAGATATTTATATTATGTGTATATGTCAAATTTTTACAAGGTGTGTACTATAGGCACAACTATGATACGAAGTATCACACATACATATGACTTATACATTGTATGTCTCATATACCGACGTCAGATTTCATCATTTTATTAATTATTTGTTACGTTACAAAAAACTCTTTAGAATCGTGAGTGCATACGTTATACAACTAATAAACACTGTATCACACAATTTTATCAATATAAACCTGCTTGTATCTCATATGTATATGTTAGAACTAGATGAACACTTAGGTTCACTTTAACATATGTTGTTTCTCATGTGTCTCCCTTGTAGAAACGTAATTTCATTTGGACGTGCTGTATGGGATATAATTATTTATCAATTTGTGTAACAGTACTTATAATACCTGCTGATGAGTGAACTCGGGTGCGCATATGTGAGAGCGGTAATACAAGCAATTGCCCCCAATGAAGAATGTTATAAATAAGATAAAATAAGGTATATGAAATAAACTGTTACAAAAGAAATTAATGCCATTCAAAATAGCAAATTCAAACGCACACAAAAGTTCAATTCACAATCACGACCATCTTTCAGCGCAAATTTAATTGATATCTAGTCCTTTTAGCCTCCATAATCAAGTACTTAAATATTGCCACTATCCCTCTCATAGTACTCCATCTCTAGATGCGCCACTGCATTAATGTTTCACAATCAGTCTATTTTAGTTTTAGTAAAAGCTAAAGTTTTAGCAAAGAGTCTTATCTACTCTTTGGTTTTAATGCAATTTAAAATATTTTACTTTACACGATCATTTACAATAAAGAATAAAATGAAATTCACCAATATGTAAGCACATTCTTTTACAAAAATATTATGAATTTGTATTAATTTGGTCTTCATCCTTAATTCATTAAATAGTTTTAAGCTGTTGGCATCTATCGTCGTTTGGAAGAACTAGATCGATTTTACTACTCGTTCTCTTTACAGAGAATGTACCAACTTCTCCTAATGATTAAAAGATGACATGGAAGGCAAGAAAATCGATATGTTTTGTAAAATTACCACATGAGGACAGATCTAAGTATATCCTTTCAAAATACCTCCTGAATAGTTAGTTTTCTTTAATATAAAAAGGTTTACTTACGTTAAGTTCAAATTCTAATTAATATATTTATAACCTGGATATGCAAAATTATTTACAGTAAAATTCCTTTCGTAAAACTGCTAAACCTAAACAACACTGAGTTTGTTGAGCACGCGCCACAATTTGAACGTAGGTTTGAAATCGATTTATACTCTAGTCAAGATTTCGTCGCAAAAAAATTAACGACAAATTTAAAAACAGTTCGTACCAAAATATATTTTAAACATGAGATTTAGCATTGAACTATTAAATTGTTGTATTAGCGTTAGGAGTAAATCCAAAAGTAAATCCAATTTTATTGTTTGTCTTCAATTTTATTGATAACTAAATATTTAATAGTGCTATACAGGGTGCTACAAATTCGAGGTACGAACATTGGTAATCGGTAACCGTAATAGATACGAACATGGTTAAATTGGGGTAAAGTTGTGTATTGGGGTGTTCACCAAGATGCCATCAAAAAAGATTTAAAAATTTCAAGGATTGCTGAGTTTTTTGGAAAAAACGGATTTTTTTGACAATCAATTTTATTTTTTCCTGTCGTTACTTTTTAGGAACTCAAAAAATTAATTGCACATTCTCAGAGCCACTTTATTAGGGCAATCTGATAGTATTTTTAGATTTTCAAATTAGCTGACAATTTGTAAGATACAGAGGCCAACTTAATTTTTTTAAATACGAATCTGCATTTTTTATTTTAGGTTTTGAAAGAACTGTAGTCGATATCGCGAAATTTGTTGATTGGTTGCTCGTAATTAGCATTCGAGATAGCAAAATCCGCAAGTGCAAGATGTCTACCAAAGAATATAGTACTAAATAATATTTTGCAAAAAAAATAATTTCCTCCTAAACCACGAGTATATAAGTTAATAGATAAAGAAATTATTAGAACACGTTTCGTTAAAAAGGAAGAAATTGAGGTAAGTTACAGAAATTAACAAGAGTAACTACTCAAAACAAATTAACTTAAAAAAAAAGATTATAAATCGAATTCGGTCGTTCGAGAAAAATCGAGTTCCACTGGAATTGAGTAGTACATACGAGAACAATCGAAACCTTCTCTATGCACCTAACGATCTATGGACCGTTCTAGAAATCTTTAGCTGTGGGTATAAAAGCCGGCGGCTGGGGCCTATAGAGGGCAGTTATAAATAGACGAGTACAGTTGACACGCTAAAATTCAAAATAAATTCTTAGTTTGTAAATAGTCTTAAGTCTTTTAACGTTATTGTTTTTGTTAATTAGTGTTAAATAAATAGTGTTTAAATAAATTGTGACTTTCTATCCACACGGAATCGACGAAAAACATAACAATATGCTTCATCCAGGCATTTTACTTGAAAGATTGTTCAAACTGTATCATTTATAATAAATAAGTTTTCATGTTTTTATAGTTATTATCAACAGAACAGTTTATTTGTATTTTATTAGTGCGAAATAAATGTTTTACAAAAGCTTTGTTCGGGTTCTTGTTATTACCGATTCTGAACCGTCCTAGAACTGTGATGCGTATGCGCAGAAGGAAATATGAAGATATTATTTTATTTGCGCATGCGCTGCAGAGTTCTAGGACGGTTCAGAATCGGTAATAACAAGAACCCGAAAAAAGCTAAAATATTTTTTCTCTTAGGTATAGTCATCTAAACAAGGAGTGCGGTAATGAAAATGCGTGAGTTAAGAAGCTCTTAACTCACTCAAAATGCGTGAGTTAAGAGCTTCTTAACTCACTGAAGGTAGATAAAATCTATTGACACACACTGCTCATCCACGTCTGTTCGAGGCCGGATGAGATCGGATATCTCGTAACAGTAGACTAGAACGCTTGCACACACACCGGAAAAACCGGAGCCGGTGTCGGTGCTGGAATCAATTGCAGTATAAATAAATTAGCTCCTTCGCATATACTCCGATCCGGTAAATTAGATGGTCCGACAACTATTATATAAAATTAAATATATTTTTTGGAACGAGTAAAAAAATGAAAAAAACGGCGCCGGCACCGACTTGAACACATACACTTTTTGTGTGTTCAAGCGCTCTCTAGATACTCGCCAAGAAGTAGGTAGGCCATCGACAATGATATGACCGACGACTGCGGTTCAGATTCCGCCTAAGTAAAGTTAGCAGCAAAAATTAGACGTTAATTTAAAATACTTTTACTTTTCTACTGTTATTACTGAATTTACTTTTTCTTTAAATTTGCTCGATGTAGAAAAAACGTAGAAAGGAGAGAGGACACATAAGATACACTTGGTCGGTGTGTCTATGCTGAGGCTATCCGCGCATGCGCACACATTCATTTCATGCTAGATGTAGACACAACAGTACACTATTACAAAGTGTCTATATAGATATTTATATTATGTGTATATGTCAAATTTTTACAAGGTGTGTACTATAGGCACAACTATGATACGAAGTATCACACATACATATGACTTATACATTGTATGTCTCATATACCGACGTCAGATTTCATCATTTTAATAATTATTTGTTACGTTACAAAAAACTCTTTAGAATCGTGAGTGCATACGTTATACAACTAATAAACACTGTATCACACAATTCTATCAATATAAACCTGCGTGTATCTCATATGTATATGTTAGAACTAGATGAACACTTAGGTTCACTTTAACATATTTTGTTTCTCATGTGTCTCCCTTGTAGAAATGTAATTTCATTTGGACGTGCTGTATGGGATATAATTACACATTTATATCTAGTTTTAATTCTGTAATAACTAAAATATGTTATAAACGTGTATTTTTTATTACCGTTGAATATTTTACAGAAATTCTTTAATTTTTCATGAATTATCAAAAAGCATGCCACAGCCCCCACCTAGATTTTATCAAATAATAAAGATCTACTCTGACGCAAATAAATCTTAAAAATTAAAATGTCTAGAAAAACCTTTGTCTAAGTGGTAGGCAGCTTTAATAGTATTTTGAAGATATATGAATTGAATATCGAAATAAAATACTGGCTGCTCCGTTTAAAACAAAGGAGTAACTTGCTTTTCAAAGTAACCAATATTCAATATTTTGTCTGTATAGCTTTTCGCGTCAAATTTTAATTTGTTTTAACATACAACGGTTATTTTAACTAAATATCAGACTATACAGGATAAATTACAATTTAGGTACCTGTTATATTGAAATTCAAAATTTATTCTTCATTTTCACGAATTGCGAAATCTTTCAAAATCCATTTTTTTCACACATTTTAGGCATATGCTTCTTTAATGAAACTAATCCGAAAATAATATGTATGTTCCATTACAACAAATCCAACTTTGATGCGCAACTTTTTTTTGGGGACCCTTTGTATATAGAACTCTCTATATTTTTAAAAAATGGCTCTAAGCTAAAAAATATCATGCTACCAAAACACATACATATGCTACCAAAATTTAATTTGGACATAAACTACCGTTCTCCTTGGAGCCCCCGTCGTATGAGAAGCTCCACCCTGTAGGTAGTTTCTAAATTGACTGTTACGCACTAAAATAAGATCTATATTAAAATTAGTAAGGGGATAAAAACAATGGCGAAACAATGAACAATACTGTCGTGTAGACACTTTTTGAACACCCTGTATACAACAAAATCAAATAAACACTCAGATGAAACGTTAAAAAATCAAAAGTAAATAAAAACTAAAAGACTTAATAAAAAGCATTTTATTTTTACAAAAAAAAATACTCTTCTAAATCTATATGTGAAACCTGACTCTTCAAGAATAGCAAATACAGTTCAACATAACCAAATTTGAAACCTAATGTTAGTAACATTGAGTATGCTTAATAACAAAGCAGAGAAAAAGGTCCTTACTATATAATTCTCCTGTTACAGAACTATTATAAAAATCACAGAAAAATAACATTTTATTTAATAAGTTTGGGGGTCTTCGCCATAATGGAAGACACTACCTCTAAACTAAAATTAATAACTACAGTTGTTCTAATACAGATTATAATCCAGAAAATTTACAGTTAAAATATATATGTATTATCCATTATTCTACAGATATTCAGAAATCAGCAACATCTCTACGAATTAAAAATATAGAAGGGTACTACCAGCAACTAAGTAGACGTGTTACTTATTTAATCCCGTCATTTAGGTACCTATTTACAAGAGCTTAAAGCCAAGCTCAACCAATCAAATATGATAAAAATATACAAATGTTTTAGAACTTTATCGATTTATCCGATTTAGAGATTATAAGAACCAAGTTCCTTTCCTTAATGCTGAAAATAGAAAATTTAATCTTAATACACATACATTCAGTGACAATCAAACACAAAACCTAAGTAAATAAATAATCATAGGCGATTTCTGTTATATGTTCTTAAAATATTAATAACATTTTGAGCAACATGAAATGCAATCAAGATAAAAACATAAATGTTAATGTAAATATACATATTAATATAATATAAATATTATACCGTATGATCGAATAAAAACGGCGTCAGCGATGGCTATGAAATAAAGATCGCTGTCATTTTATATGTAAATTTATATAGGAAATGCCATCGATCGTCATTTCCAAGCCAACTGGACGCCGTTTTTATTCGATCATACGGTATTTTTCAAGGATTTGCGAAATATTAAAATTTTAAATAACGGTCGCTTTTAAGATACTGGTATTTATATGCAAAGATACCTATTACATATTAAATATATTAAAATAAACATTTCAAATTGTTTATAGCTTTTCATGTCATATCATGGATATTCTTACCGATTAAATTGATCTTTTCAGTAATTTCTGTTTTCTTTTTTAAGAACATATTTTTGCATAATTTTCCCAAAGATCAGTGCATTAATTTATTTTCCATTTTTTTAGTCAATAATAACTTATAAATAAAATTACCAAATGTTCCTGATATAATAGCTCCTTCTTGTAATAACATGATAAGCCACTCAACCAGAAATCACTTTTATTAACTAGAAACTAGTGTTTTTCTTGCCTTTTTTCCAACAAATTTGTTAGATAAATACTTAGCCAGTTAAACTAAACTCTCTAAAACGTCTTCAAATTTATATTTATTAATATTTAAAAGTCTAATAATTCAGAATTATAGATTTGTGGCATATATCATGTTATTACAATAAGAACTTAACTACTATGAAACTTCGGTAGAATATTCTGCAGATAAAAAAAGTAAAAAAGTTCGTATAAATTTATGTCCTAAAATACTTCCTTTCGGAGATACAGAGTGTAGAAGTTTCATTTTTATATCGATTTTTTCAAATAATTATGTATATTTAAGTTGAATTGTATATTTTTTTACTCAGTAGTTTGATACAGATCCGGACGGAAAGTCAGTTAGCTCTTCAAATCAGTTAAAAAACATATAGGTGGCGCCCCCTACAAGTATGAGTCATATTGACATCGAAATCAAATTTATCATGCCAACCACCCACAAACTAATTTTCATCCAAATATCAACGTTAGTTGAGAAATTTTTTGGAAAAAAAAACGACATAAAAATGAAACTTCTACAGCCTGAATCTCCAAAACGAAGCATTTTGGGGCATACATTTATATGAACTTTTTTATTTTTAGCAGGAAAATAATATGCTGCCGGAGTGTCCCGAATACAACTTGGACCACCCTGTATACAAGAGAATATATGATAGGGTCAATTTTTAATGTCTTGTTTAATAATCATTAAACGAAATCCTTATTTTCCAGTATTCTAAAAAACACTGATCAATATTTTACTGACAATATATTTTTTCAAAATCAAAAAAACCTTTAATAAATGAAAATAAATATAAAATAATAATACCCGAAGAATAATAACATACATATAAAAAATATCAATTTGATTGGTTCAACCTGTAATTATTATAAATGGTCAGAAAAACTTCTAAAGGCTAGTTGTAAATAAGATACAATAAATTACAGCCACAAACTTCATTCTGTCAATCTGTCCAGTATTTCATACAAATATTGTTTACCAGATTACAGCAGCCGATACGTTAAAAAATAAATATTTCCTGTATTGGCACTGTCAAATAAAAAAACTAAATATAAATCATAAACCAGATACATTGTTTTCAAGACATGTAACAAATTGCGTCTTCAAAACAAACCTTGAAATAAACATGAGCGATTTATATACTTACAGTTAATTACAAATCTGGACTAACCTCTAAATCATAATTAATATAAACATTTAAGCTATTTTATACATAACTTTTCAATTTTAAGTGATGAAACATTTTTATCATAGAGAGAGAATTCACAGAATATACAAAATAATTATTTACCTAAAAAGTACACCTTCTGGATAAAAACTTTTATCACTTAACAATATTTAATTTTGGTTAATATAGACCTTTGGTCAGGTACCAAGTTTAAATTCTGAGAAGTTTATACAGGGTGTCCAACAGAGTTTGCAATATATGTTTTTTTTATTATTGGGACATTGAAAAAAAGTTTATATATGTCACAGGCGTATCGAATAATTGGGCATTTTCCAAAAAGACTAGGCATATTATAGATCGTCGGCGTTTTAAACAAAAGAAGGAAATTTTACAAAAAAAACCTATCTGTTTCCAGTCCCTATGCAAAATGACTAAACAGAATTAATCAAATTACACAATGATAATATTTGATGCCTGTTTCAGCAAAAAGACCGCTTGTTATCAGTCATTCTTCAAAATGCCTAATGAAGACTAGTCAGATTACACAAAATATTTTACACGGGATTGATATAACTAACCTAAATTTATCCAGGGATATTTCTTGAACTTCTCTTACCAAATTAGAAAATAATAGCACAAAATAGTGATGATTTTGTTAATGCGAGTATGGTTAAGGATGATTATTATAAAGTAAATTTATTTTATTCTAACACAGCAAAGTTCCACAAAGAAGCAGCTCTGGACACATAGTCGAATTATAGAGTATAACAATATATTTAATTGACATAAAATATTGTTGTTCTGTAGTAATATATGTGATATTTTTTTATTAAAGCACAAATTATTCAATATGCTTATGCTCATAGCTGACTAAACTTGATTACATTTTTTAATTTGTCCGGCCTCGATTTGGCATTATGTAAAATGACTAAAAACAAGCAGTCTTTTCGCAGAAGTGTACATAAAATATCTTCATTGTTTAATATGCCTAATTTTGATTAGGATATGCCTAATTCTGATTCGGCTTTTTGCAAAGCGGCTGAAAATAAATAGGCTTTTTGTAAAAATTCCTTCTTTTGTTTAAAATGCCGGAGTTTTATAATATGCCTAGTCTTTTTGCAGAAAGCCGGACATATAAATGAAGTTCAACGCGTCGAATACCATAAATACACATTTTGACATGTCATACAACTGTCTTGGCAAATAACAAAACATCAAATATAGCTGAATATAGTCAAAAAGAAGTTATTTAGGAATTAATTTTACATCTTATGTTTCAAATTTGATAAATATACATATTTTTTAGATATTTTTCAAAAAATCAGATTTTTAGCTAAAATTGCATAAAACGAAGTAAATCCAAAAGGAATAATTCCTAAAACAATAATTTTTCATCAGTGTCCTCTAAATAATTATTGTAAAAGACAAAAAAGCCATTTTTAAAATACCAAGCCTGTAGTACTAAATAGCTTAAGAGAAAAATTTTGACCTAACGTTTTTTTTATATAGAACAGATTATAGGAACATTTACAAAGTGTAGGTTATTTTAAATGTGTTAGTTTGAATTTTTGTCTCCTGTGGACAATTGCAACAAATTCGGTGGTCTGAAATTTGATATTTTTTAGTATAAATATTACAGAACAGTAAAATCAAATTACTGCGTTAGTCTTTCATCTGAGAAATATACATTCTTTTATTTTTATCGAAAAATATATATTTCTTAAAAATCCCTAATTTTGGACAATTCTTTTCTTCGAGACAATTTGGGATATTTTGTTATCTAACCTCACTTTTTACATATTCTCATCTAACTTCACTTATAACATGTTATTTTTGTTTTTGTATTTTTTTACTCAAGTAAATCTGCATATTTTTTTTTCAATAACTCAATGTTCAAAAAATTACCACGTGTTGCAAACTTTTTGGCACAGCTGTATGAATCATCTATCTAAAATACATTTGCATAAGAAAAAAAAATATAATATATATTTACATCTAGCTTAAAAATAATATTGATATAAAATATACCGCCGTGTTAACAAAAAAAAACCTTACCTGACGCGTTAAAAAAATAAGTTCTTGTTTGTTAATAGATATATTATGTAAATAGGACATTTTTATACAATGAATCGAATTTATCCTCGATGTAAAATAGCTTTGTCTTTTTTAATCAAACACTTGAATCTCAATTGTAGTTAACGCATTTGTCGTTAACATGCCAGTATAGTATTGAGACCTTAGAACTTAAAATAATACGTAAATTTATAACACAATACTTCTGATGTAATATCATTATTCAAAAGCATATTATAAAAATATAGTACAGAGGAGTATCATTTTCACTCTTTTGAACGAATTAAGATACTCGATAAAAATGAAATAAAAAATTGTAAAAGTTCATAGTGATTAAGATGTCTCTTTCGGTGATGGAGTCATAGAAATTAAAAAAGCAGCTTATTATACAGAGCGTTCCAAATTCTGGATAAACTTTTTTGGTACACTGTAAAATTAAAAATACAAACATTTTGAGATATGCACATTAGTTTATAAAAAAGCTCACGTCTAACATCACACAGGGGTTTTAAGCTATATGGTAAAAATATTATTTTCTAAAGGTAGAAACGAAGTACTTTTGTAGAAGTATTTTACAGAAAATTCTGCTATAACTGATAAAACTTGTAGAAAAATAACTGTTGCAATTTTTAATGATAAGATTTATTCGATACAATTTTTGTATTTTGAAATTTAAAACTATTTAATATTCTATTTCAAATGGCCTCACAATATATCTCAAAATTAATTTTTAATAGAGCAAACGCAACTATTAATCATATCAAAAAATGTTTTTATTTTTAGACATTTGTGTGTGTGAGACAGTTCATCTAATCATCATAGAAGGGCTACTAAAAGTTTACATCTAACTGCATTAGGTGACTATTCCATCTAAAACAGCTTTAAACTTTGAAACCTAGAACTCCTCAAAAATATGTCTCCTATCTTCTAATTTTTGAACGCTTCCGCCTTCCGATTGTTGAACGTTTTGCGTTATTCCTTCTTGAAAGGACTGATGGATCTTGTAGCCAAGGTAATTGAAAATTGCTGAAACAAATGTTTTTGTTTAAATATTGAAAAATTAATTATTATTTCAAGTTAAAAAGTTTAAAAATATATATTGTAGAATTCCCTAAACACTTCAATTAAATAAAACAACATTTACTTGTAATTAACTTTTGGTACAGGATGTCCAAAAGCTGACACTGGTAACTCGTCATTTACTTCCAAATATTTAATATCCTCTAAATTGGGCCATAGACTAGTTGGAGAATCACTATCGTTTTCTCCTTTCGAGCCTGATCCTACCCTTTCCTGTCTTTGTTTTAATTTCTCAATAACACGCTGTTCCCTAATACGCTGAACATCCCACCTAAGGCAAAATTATTATTAATATTAAGAATATACAAGGTGAAACTTCGGCAGCATATTCTGCCGATAAAAATAAGTCAAAAAGTTCGTATAAACGTATGTCCTAAAATGCTTCGTTTCGGAGGTACATAGTGTAGAAGTTTTATTTTTATTTTTTCCAAATAATTTCTGAACTAACCTAGACATTGATGTCTGAGTGTTTTTTGATATGAGAAATTTGGTTTAGATGTCAATATGACTCCTGCTTGTAGGGGGCGCCACCTACACATTTTTTAACTGTTGAATACTAATAACTCTTCGTCTGCATCTGTATTTTACTACTGAGCAAAAATATACATTTTTGAACTGTTTTACGTAAAAAAGACTATTCATAAAAATTGCTACGAGTAATGGTTCTCAAGATATTTAGAATCGAAATCACGTTGATATTGATAAAAATTAAACATCTCTCCAAAAAAATCCTATATGAGTATTTCGCCACTGCAAGAAAATCTACAATATCACATATATATGTGGTATATATAGATTTTAACAACACCAAAATTATAATGAAAGAAGCGATAGCCTCTAAAAGGTAAATAGAAGAAGCATATATACAATCTAATAAAAATAAATGTATCGCTCATGCATCTGTAAATGTTAGTAGTGTATGGCAATCGCTTCTTTGATTTTGAAGAACATAACATAAATAAATGCAATTAAAACAAATGCAACTTTGCAATTTAAAACAAATTAAAAATAATCATATAGAAAGTTTGAGGCTTTTTGGTTTTACCTTATAAGTAATTGTCATCAGGTATTAATTTTGGAGTTTAACTTGATATAATGTCATTTTAACAGCAAGTTTTTGTAGACGTACCTGTTTTAATAAAACCAAAGTGTTCTCAAATAGTTGCATTTAAATATTTTAAATAGTTTTTTTTTCTTTATTCTTTGTATTTGTCTTGCTTCCGATGATGGAAAGATATGAACTTTCCGAAACGTTAAGCATTTTTTTGTTCCTTGGGCAAATTTGTTTATTTGTAAACCTAACTGCTGACAAGTCGTTTCCATTGGAATAACGCAACAGTGTTTACAAAAAATAACTAATTGATTTTGTAGATTTTCTTGCAGTGACGAAATACCCATATAGGCTTTTTTTTGGAGAGATAAATCCGCCACATAGGTATAGACATTTTTTAAAAATTAAACATGTTGACTAGTTAGTTATTACACTGAAATAATAAATTTGGAAATGTTTTTCTGTCTAAAGTTCCACAGAAACTGTTTTATCATACTTTTTTGTGGAAAAATCTGACTAATTTAAAAAAATAAATGTTCCCAAAATCATAATTTCAGTCAAATAACTGTCTAGTCAACATGTTGATTTTATGTCAATGATGACATGTATTGATAATTTCCATTCCAAATATCTTGAGAATGGTTGCTAGTAGCGATTGTCTATTCAAAAAATGTCTATTCATTTAGCAGTTAAATACAGGTACGGACAAAAAGTTAAAACCCTTCAAAAAAGTTAAAAAACATATACATATGTGGCACCCCTACAAGTGGGAGTCATATTGCCATCGACATCAGAATACATAATTTCTTTAATTATAAGACATATTAGTTACCTTTTTCTGCGGCGTTCGTCAATCTCTAATCGCATATGCCTTTTATTATAAACTTCGTCATCTAAATTCTCAGTGCCTTCCATAGTATAACAACTTGTGTAATGTTTAACACGCCATCTAGGTACCTATGGCAATTTATACAAAGTTAATTTTGAAAAGTTACTAGAAAATTAATATGAAGATTAGACAAAAAAATGAGTTTATGAAAATAAAACATTAGTTGAGGGTTGGAACTTTTGGTGATACAACAACAAAATAAAACTCTAATTCACCACAATGCACCAGAACACTTTACTTTCAAACAACAGACGCGCGTTTCTCTAACATGTTTAGCAAAAAAGCGAGTTCAGTGTTTAAAGGTATTCTGATGAATTAGTGAATTAGTGTAAAAATAAAACGAATTTTACAGATATACATACACCTATTGGTATCTACTGCAGTAGTCAGGACATATATTAAAAATTAAAAAGAAATATTTGGGGTATAGTTTTTCCGAAGTAAATTGGAATAGGATGGAACCTAATTTTGTAACTGTTTCTGTCTTAATGAAGAGTCATAATATATTTCCAACTGTCTTTAGAAATAATACATTCTTATTATCTTAAAAAAGTAAAATGTATACATAAAAATTATTATTACATCAGTGTAAGTAAGTACCTACCTATAGTTTTTATAAACTTAAGATAGGTAATTATTTTGTAGAATGTAGAATATTTAGGGGGGGAGTTAATTACCGAGACCTTACAGATCTGTTGTGTGTTCCCCTTTCTTGAGTTATATTGAGATATAACTCATCATACAGTCTCAGGGCTTTGTAATATTTGTAATTATTATTATCAGTTATAATGAATCAAAAATAATTTAAAAAAATACTGTACAAGAAAAACATACCTCAAGAGCTGGGCTACTCATCAGATCTTCTATTTCTGGTTCAATGCTTAAATTTAGGTCTTCCTCATTGGTACAAATAATATATGGTTCCTTGGAAGTTAATATTTGTGAATCTTTTGTTAAACCTATAATAAAATCTTGTTGGATTATATAGGTATATATTTTTAATCTAAGAAATTAATACAGGGTGATTCTATTAATCAAGGGTTATTTATTTTTTAGTAATTTACTCAGAGAATAATCAGTTATTAATTATATTGCGCCACTGATTAACTTATAATGCATTATTATGGTTTTAATATAATTTGCCATTAATCATTAATTATTGTAAATATATAAAAACTAGAAAAAAATCAAATAAAATTAAAACTCCAATTAAAATAATTAATTGATGCTGAAATTCCCTCTAAAAGTTGTTTAAATAAATAGTCAATGTCGTCGTATCTTAAATTTGAAACATGCTGTATAAAAATTTCTTACATCCTAAAGAGCTTAATATCAAATAAAAATCGACGTGACGGAGCATAGAAATGAAAAGAAACTATCTTGATCTACTAAATTTATTCTTCAGAGTGGTGAGAGAATCATCCTGTATAATGAAGTAAAAAATAAAATGCCCTGTATAAACTGTTGATGTACTACAATTTACAGTTCTTGTTTAAAAGTCCATCTTTTTGAACATCTGCAGCGTTGCCAGATGAAATTTTGCAAATTCCCTAGATCACTGCTTCCTAACTAAACTAAAGATAAGAATTGCAATATTGTCAATAATAGCAATAGTTAGAACAATAGTTTGCGTTCAATAGTTACAAGTTTTGTTTGTTAAAAAATATTGTCTTCAGAGTTTTATTCTGACGACATAAAAAATTTTTGTCAAATTTTAAACGGAATTATTACTAATTTTTTAAAAAGATATTTTCTAAAATTTATTAATCCCTTAGAATTTCCGTACATAATATTCTTTTTCTTCTCTTCATAACCTTGATTTTTCATAAATCTAGAGAAAATTTACTAGACCTGGCAACTGTGATCATATGTTTTTATAACTCGAAAGCGCGTGCGCGAAAACTATTATCGATATTGGCGGGAATATAAAACTATAAAATCTGTTAATATTGCATGCACAATTTACAAAATATTGTATTTATTAAAGAATTTTTCTACGAAACCAATACTAATTTATAGTTGAGAATTACTTACGCCTCCTTTTTTTCTTCATACGTTTAAAAGTCTTCTTCTCTCCCATAAGCACAGGCTCAGTGTTTGATAAAACAGATGAACTACTAACTCTTTTTCTTCGAATACTCATCTTAATATTCTTCATAGAATCGGATTCACCAAAATTATTAACCGTAAAGTTATATTCGGACAAATAATCTTTATTACACTCAGCAGTATTACTTAGTTCGTTAGCAATATAATCCTCACTTTTGAATTCATTTTCTTCTAAAGTAAAATTGTCCTCATCTATTGTTGTATCCACTTGAGATTCAACATCACTAACACGATTCGATTCATAATTTGTCACTTCTAATGAACACGTTACCACATTATCACTTTGTTGAGGATTCACTAGTTCAACATTTTCTTTAGTGTCATCATCATATTGTCCACATAAATCTTGGGTCATATCTTCTGGAAAAGACTCCCTTATTGTATTTTCAGTTCCTGTATCGAAATGTCTATCAGGATCATAAGGAATACCTTTCTCAATGCAATTAAGCCGATCTTTGAGCTAAAAGAATAACAAACCCAATTATTTGAAGCCAATACGTTTCATAATACTTATAAAAACCATGTTTAGATTTAACAAAATTAATGCTAGAAAACTTACCATCTCATTCTCTTTTTGTAAGAGATATATTTGATGTTCCCTTTCAAGAATTTCGTCGTTTTGTTGTTGTATTAGGTCATTGTGCAAGATCAACCATTCTTTTAATGACTTAACCTCACTTTCGGCTGTTTGACAGTTTGTATCTGAAGAACTTACTTCACCATTTTCTGGGCAATTAAAACAGTTTGTGCCATTTAAAACATGGATATTACTTTGAGCTCCAATATTATTGAAAGTCGAATTATCTGTAGGGGAATGATTCAAATACGAGTCTAAACAATCGGGTAACTTTGTATTACTTTCATGTTGAAAATTGTCGGTCATTTTCGGCAACGCTCGACCTATGTTTTGGTCATTGTTTATGCTGAGCAAACGCATAGTTCTCCAAAAATATCGTATTTTTTGAATAAGTAAGCATAACAGAAAAGATTAAACTTGACATTCTGTCTAGGTTTATAAATATCATATTTCTAAAACGCATACTTATACTGTACAACCTGCACAACTTCACAACTGTTTTAACAAATAATTTGAAAGTCCCAATCTAATTAAAACGTAGCGCACCCCTAAACTTTGTTGAGTCATAATTATGAAGTTAATTTATAATTCAATTCGACATTTGTTAATAACCGTTCATAACATATTATGAACAAGGAATTCACAAATCTTTCTATTCGATACAGGTGCCCCTGACTTCACAGGAGCTACTTTATAAATACATATTAAAGTTTATAAATCACAAAACAGAAACACACTTTCGGCTTGTTTATTCCTTTTAGGGATGTCTCTGGGGATATGCCTATTATACACTTCACAAGTTAACACTCACTAGTTCCTTTTTACAGTTATTTACTTCTCGCGTACTTAATACCCGTACGTATTACAAAATAAAGTTCAAAAACTTTATAAAATTCTGTAGATTTCTGGTACTAAATCTGAAAATGGATATTTAATTATTATCGATAAACAAAATATCGAAAAATTATAAGATTGCCACCACGCTTCTGCCTGTCACTACCTTTTTCTTGCTTCCCAGCTGTTTGTTTTTATTGTTGTGGCGTCGTTGCCACCGTTGCCATCGTTGCCAAATGTTTCATGAAAGCTTGCAGTAAGTTCCAAAGACATCTAAATAAAAGGAGACGAAACAATTTACATTTTACCGCGATCACGAACCGTGTTGCACAAAAATCGATGATGCCAATTTTAAGCGACCGGTGGTAGATTTCGGCTGATTACGGTTTGAGTTCTAAATGCTATTGTCATTACAAGGTCATTAGGCTAAATATTTGTGTAGATATATAATTTTAATTATAATACATTAATTATACTAGGATTATACCTTTGAAATTATTATTAGTTTTCTAATTAAATTATATTAAAATTACGATTAAAATATATTAGGGAAATTACTAAGACAATCCGGCATCGCTACGGATTAATTTTTACTACAATTGTCGGAATCTGTAGAAATTACGCTGACATTTGACGTATTCATTCAACTTTTGTCCAACGGAGCATTGTTGCGAGTTTTCTGCGACCGTTGGAAGTGTTTGTGGATTTCGGACAACTTTCGAATAATTATTAGTGTTTATTGCAAAGAAAACTATTTAAAGTAGTTTTTTAACTATCTACAATGGTTCACCAGTGCATAGTTTGTTAAAGGTGGACTATTCTAACTCCTGATTGATATTTGGACGGTAAGTGTTATTACATTTTTTTACCTTTAGCAATGCCTTTACAGTAGCGTATCTAAGTACTTTTAGTTATAAGTAGATTATTACAAAAATACGTATATTTTCTTATTTGCTGTCGTTTTTGATTGTGAAATTAGACTTATCCTCAGTTAGACCTCAGGCAAAACCTTGGCAAAACCGATCTACGTTTTAAGTCAATTATTTTAAGTATTTGTCCATTTCGCTGTTACAGTTGGTGGTAAAAAATGCTCAGAGGTAATACTGGCTGTTCTCAACTTAACATTTAAAAACCTTTTTTATATTATATCTAAGTACCAACTAACATTCGAAACCGCTATAAATATCTTAAATATTGTGTATGTTATGGCTAATATCTGCTGAAATAAAAAAACAGCTGTTGCTGTTATAGGTAGTTAATACCTGAAATTTGAACACGATTTGAACATCAAAATTATTCAGTTATATTCTATATTAACTATGTACCTATATGTATGCTAAATTAGTATGACAAAGTTAGCTAATGTTCAATTAAAGACATTTAATTTTTATAATTACTTCAGACTTTGGCTAGATAATTTCCACATTTCTCCCCCAATGTTGAAAGAAAACTGTTTTTGCAATCTAAATATTAATATTATTGAACTCTAGTTAACATTAGCAGGTTTTAGATATTAACCGTAACACATGATTGATCTATTATTTATTTATTATAAAAAATTCTATAAGTAATTATATAATAGGAAAGGTTTAGATATAGGTATTCAAAATTCAAATTAAAAAAGTTAATAAAATAAATAAAATTATAATGATGCTTCAGTACTTAAAAAATATGCACTGTTTTGAATAATAATGATAAGCCTTACTTATGATAATTCTTTACTCTTTCATTTATGATATTTTTTTTTTTAGTTTTGGAACCCTTTACACTTTTACCCACACTTACCTATACACCCATACACACGCACACAATTCACAGACGAGTACATAGCTGGTGTTTTAAATAGAGGAAAATAAACCTTGGAAAATTTTTCCTTTAGGTTAATTTTTCCTTTTTTTTACCGCATATTTTTATTATTTTACATATATTATTAAATAGATTTATAATACTTAATATGTATGTGTTGCATATGTAACCAATAGTACTTTTGTAGCGTTCCTATAATTACTGAGCTTAGACAATGATCGATTTCACTCTTGAATTTGAAAAATCAAACTAATGTGTGTCCAAATTTGTTCTGATGATTTTGATAAGAGCAATATTATGATGCCGAATTAACTGATCGAAGGCAAATAAGACCAAATTCTGAGCCTCAAATAGATAGTACCATTTTTGCTGGGGCTTTATCATACAGGTAAAAAGCAGTCAAATACATTTTAACAGTTAATAAATAAGTATTATACTAATATTAGTATTTACTCTAGGTTTTCTTCTAGTTTGTACCGCCACCCAAGAAATGTTTTAGGTAAATGAACCTCCAGACCAGCTGAGGGACTAGAGAAGGTCCCTACCTAGTCCCGCGATTGGCAGTTTGGCTGGCCCCTCAAATTTGTAAGAACATTGATACATTTTATACATGTACTTTAATATTGATAATTAATTAAAATTTACAGGATTTTGCCTAAAGTCATACAAGATAAACTAGCCCTTCTCAAGAAGCCCTTCCCTCAAAACAACAGAAACGGCATTGGAAAAAGAAGTTGGAATTAACCAGTATGTGCTCTTTGTAAGTGTATTCTGGATGTTTGACTGACAAGGCTTAAAATCTCTTGTATTTTTAACAGAATGGGAATATAGCTGTATGCATAACAAAGTAATATATATAATAATATAATAATATAATAATAATATAAAATGCTAATACTGAAGTAACGACTTGCTCTAGAAAGTTGCTTTTTTTACTAAAAGATAGCTAATTGGCTCTTCTAAAAACTGTCATCGCCGGATTTTTTGTTTTTCATTTAATTAAAAAAAAATAAAAAGTATTTTTTTTTCCTGATGTCGTGGCGGATGCGCCAGGCTTCAACTAGTATGTAATATATTTTAAATGAAATACTCTCATTATAACTATTATTGTCAAGTAGTGTACTGTGCCTTATTGAATACAGGTGTACACCCTCTTGCGAAGTATTTACTTTTTAACATACAGGGTGTCACAATAGTAAGTTTAATTTTGACATATCCAGGTATTTCTTTAAAGAAATAGAGACGCGAAATTTCGTAGACACAATTTTTGCGGTAAAAAATCTAAATACATTCTTAATCATACTTTTGACGTAACTATAGTAGACGGGATACTTTGACACATTGAGCTTTTCAAAATAACATTTCTTCTGCTTCTGTTTGCCGTCTTAATTATTTAAAATTGACATCTCTCTTTCTTGCAGAAAAGGGGACACTTTGTTTATGTCATTAGCAGTAATAGATTTCAAAGGAAACTGTTATAATATCTAATAGAACAATATAACGTAATATAACATTACTAATATCACTTTGTATCTTATTAATTAAGCACTTTATGGGTTTACCTCCCTATCTTAATTTTTATAAAATACGAGACTTGTTGCTTCTCATTGTCAAGCTTTATCGGTCGAATATCCAGAAACCCTGTATAATTAACATAGCTATCTTTTATTTTATATGTTTTGTCAAGGATATGTTATTTGGAATTATCTTCCACAGTATAAGATCATAAACTACATAATTTTTTGCCATAGTGTTGGTTTTGTTTACATATATTTTCTATGAATGAGCTTTTATTTTGCACTAGGAAACATTCTCGCTTAATGATAAATTTAATACTATAGAAGGAAATTATTAGTATTTAGGAAAAAATTAAAAACGAAAATAGGTTTTATTGAAAAATTAATTATTAATGTTTTTTTGTTTGTTTACAGCATAGTAAGACAATCCTCATCTTCTGATCTCTCAATAGTTGGATATTTATTATCTCAAGAAAGTCGTCAAAGTATCAGAAAAAGGTAAAAATTACCTCTACATTATATACAAGGTGGTGCCTCTCCTACGACGCGGAGGCTCCAAAGAGAACGGTGGTTTTTATCGTTAATGTAATTTTGGGAGCATATGTAGGATAATGGAAAGCATTTTATAGAAATATCAAGAGTTCTGCGCGGTGTCCCCAAAGTTATGCATCAAAGTTTTTTTTTTGTAATGGAACACCTATATATTAATTGATTTTCGGATTCTAGGAAAGAAATAAAAGTGAGTTTCGTTAAAGAAGCATATGTCTAAAATGTAAGGCTTGTCATATTTCACATTTGGTGAAAATAATGAATAAACTTTAAATTTCAATAACAGCTACCTAGATGGAAATTTACTCATTGTATATTTAACCAAATTAAAATTTGACCTTAAGCATTCTATTAATTGATGAATGCACACTGCAATTAAAAGATCGGAATAGTATTCTGGGTGTTCAAATAAAAGGGAACTTGCTGTGTTCATTTCAAATAAAAGGGAATAAAATTACATTTTAGTCCAATAATGAAATTCACCTTTATTTTTCTCATAGAATCCGAAAATCAAATAATATATAAGGTGTCCCATTCCAAAAAACAAAACTTTGTTGTGTAACTTTTTTGGCGACACCCTGTAGAACTCCATATTTTAAAAAAACACATATTTTATCACATTTATATGTTTAAATGCTCTAAATTAACCTACATATACTCCCAAAATTTAATTTCAATACAAACTCTTTCTCCTTGGTAGCATTTAAGAGGCGCCACCCTGTATCTTAAGTAAAATTGTGCATAAGTTATTTTAATTTCAGAAAGAAGTATGTTAATGAGGCATTATAATGATATTATGTAGAAATTTAAGTCTTGTAAAAATTTGGAAACAAAGAAAATGAAAAATACATACTTTACAAATAGGTCTTAGAAGATTGAAAAATAAAATAATATCAATGCATCAGTTAATTGATTACTTAAAAGAAAAATCTTTGATAAGTGAATCAACTGAATTGACCATTCAGGTATGAATATAGGTATGCAGGGTGACATTTCAAAAACATAATGGTTATAAGTCAAAGGTTATATGTGAGGATCCAAAAAAATATAAAAATCAAGTAAAAATCGTTAAAAGCAATTTCTAATAATTGAAGCTGTATCTCTTACTGTTTCTGAGATCCCAGTGCTTGTAATTATTATCTTGGACACACTATTTTATGTATATATTTGAGTGGCGGGCGGAGGGGAACTATAATAATGTAAAGTTATCAGCCATTTAATAATTTAGTCCTACAGCCATTATGTCAAAATCTGTCCCCAAGATTCATTATCAAGTTTTAAATTTAGTTCTGGTCTAATTTTGTGAATGATACACTAATCCATATGACAGTGGCATAAATACGATTAATGGAAGGTTCTAATTTCCATGACAAGGCCAGGTCTAAATTTTAAAACCCTTTAGTGAATTTGGACGTGTCTAAAAAAGACTAATAATAATATTATAGAGATATAACATTAATAGAGATAATATATGTTTTTTTAGGCTTCCTTAGCTGAACCAGTACAAAGTATTTTTGAAAGAATGTTAAAAGGACCTGCCACACAAAAATCCAATCTTCTGCTACTATCCTTTGCTTTAACATTGTCATTTTATTCATGAAAACATAGAATTTATAAGGGATACATAAACTGGCCCAGAGTTTTCTTAGGAGGCCTCTAAATTCCATTTAGTTTTCAACAATATTTTTGATATTTTTAACTCTCAGAATGGATTTACAAAATATTCATATAAAAAAATTATCAAAAATATAAGAACAACATACTTTTTAATAATTTTGAAATAATTAAATTGTATATTATTGGACTTACTTTAAAAGAAAGGTCAACCATAGTCACAAAGAAAAACGGGATTTTTGGGCTTTCTAATTTGTATGGAAAGCTTACAACGTATGTATAAATACTATGTAAAAGAAAATCAATTATTGAAATATATTTTGACTAACTGGTGGAGGTCCACGTATACAAAAAGCAAAAACGGAAGATAATAATATATTCAATTAATGTAAAAATGAGAAGAGCATTGTGGGATTAAAAAACATGATGGTGATAGATTGTCTAAAACTAATAGGAGTACTGGTATTGTAAGTACTAACCTTTCATTGTGTTTTTGAATTTTTTATTACTTTGAAGAGAATTCAATATATTTAGATATTTTTTCAGTCTCAAAACAAAACTGATGGTTACAAAGAAACAGAAGAAAAGGGATGATACTAATTTACTAGACAAAAGGCTGTTCTTTTGTAATATGGAGATGGGCAAAATTCAAAGTAGTAGTATTCAAAACAGAGAAGAACATAAGCTAAAGAAAAAAAGGGTTGTTAGACATTGAAATAAAAAAAGAACAGTAAAGTTCTCAAAGAGAACTTATTTAATAATTTTAATTAGTGTTTATATTGTCATGTAAAAAATGTAATATATGTTATTTCTGAATAAAAGACATTTAATAATGATATTTTATAGAAATTAATACTCAAGAGATTTAATAACAACATAAAAACATGTTTAGAATAAGTTAAAAAAAAATATTGCCCTAATCTTTCAAACTAATTTATTATTTCTCTTCTTATTAATTTGGTCCATATTTATTTCATCTAACGGCGGCAGCTCTTGTTCAGGCATCATTCTGGCTGTATTGTGTAGCGCATTGAAACAAAAAATCTAAAAATTTAAGTACATACATTAAATTTTTAAATTTTATTCTATAATTAAACAGATAATATTTTTCTTAACTCACTGTTGTGCAACAATATCTGACATTGTGTTTTGTAATTTTGGTCTTATACCATAAAACACATATTGGAAAGTGGCGTTTCCATATAACGATAATTCTGAAACATTTCTTCAGCTCTATTTCTGCATATATCCCCTCAATGCATATGCAATCTCACCTTATAACAGATAATAAAATAATTTAATAGAGTATATGAACCCTTTGAATATTATCACATTTAATTTTAAAAAATTTCTTTCAATTCATCTTATTCGTAATATATTTCTAAATTGAATACCTACTCAAATATTTAAGGAATATATTTTATATAAATGATCTAACAGTAAGTAAATATACGGACCACTAACCAAGCAGGATTTAATTTGAAAAGTCACCAGTCTCCATGCGGGTCCTTAATGTCCAAAAATGGTGGCTTTATGCACAGACCCATGCCAACAAGCAATCAAGTCTATAGTTTTAAGACTAGCATTTCCAGTAATTTAAATGTTGGGGAAAATAATGCTTTTCTATTTCTAATTACCTCTCCATCAATACCCCCTGTAAAGTATAAGAAACCTTGTACTGATAAATATTGAAGAAAATATATAGGTACTTACCAGGTGAATGTTTTCTTACATTGTGTTTCATCAACTATCCCTATAATCCCAGGAAACCTAAATATACTATAAAACTTGTTGTTGATTTAAGGCAGTTATGCTGTTGTTTCTGGAAATAGTAAAGAACAATGGTTCAAAGTATAAATATAATTAATTTATCTTACATTAGATTTACTAGCATTCCAACTTACCTCTCATTTTGATATTCTAGATTTTGTTCAATTAAACAAGGATTAAACCGAGGATATATATTACAGTGTCGTTTAAAAGTCTCTGTCCTAAAACTTAAGGAGGTTCATTTCTTGGCAATATGATTTTTCCTTACATCCACTCTTGAGGAAATCCATTTTCAATGAATATACCTACTGATCGACGTCTAGGATATCAAAAGTAATCATCGAACTTACGTAGAGGTATCATAATACATTTTTTAGCTTTCTCAAAGGAATAACAATAATTCTTCCTCGTAAAACAATATTTTTGTGTCTAAGATAGGTTAAGTGACCACTAGCCTGGAAATTTGACCGCTTAATTTAAATATAAATTCAAGTTAGATTAAAGCATAGTGCAAGAAAATAAGCTAAACATAGTGTTAAGTTTTGCTTAAAAAACTTGGTGCAAACGCCCCTACATTGTATATTATCGATATTACTACGTATATTACAAATTAAAATTTAAATTAAAATACACAAAATAACTATTTTAAAATTTTTGATAAAAAAACACCACACCACCGTCACGCCACTGATGGAGTGAAATGACAGAAAGACAGCCGAAACTCAACCGTGTTGTCATATTTATGTACCCATCTCTTTTTAACTCTCATAAAAGTGCCAAACCATGTATGATTCTAAAAAATTGAGTTTTATGAATGGAGTGTTCTGTCTACCTATATTTAGATGTCTTTGGTAAGTTCCGCAATTATTCCGCGTTCCGCTAACCATTATTCAATAATTCATCCACATTTATTATATCGTCCACAAAATAATGATATTATAAATACTATTATAGGATATATTAATACGCTAATAAACCTTATATAGTAAGCAAATTTAAACAGCTTTTAAATAAAGGTGAGTATGAGTATATTTTTTGTATCCTTAACGAAAAAATCGAAGGAAAGAAGTGGATTGTGCGCAAGAGGCTTTCGTGGTTGAGGAACTTGTGGCAATCATGTGTGGCAATGGACAGGATTGAGTCAGAGGATTGAATGCGGATGAATTACGCTATGTAAGGCAAGATCGAGAGCGATACAGAGATATTTGTTAACATGACAGTCGTCAACTTTCACTCATAAAATAATTAACTAGAAAGAAGTGTCAACTCTGTGTTAAATCGTGGAAACACGATACGCCACCGAAAGCCTTCGTTGTCGTCTGGAGAACTAATTTTCCAATTGACAGGTTGACATGATGGCTTCGTATTTATTTCCGTTTCCGGTTATTCAATGGCGGGCCCTCTTTCAGTTTAAATGTATTTTGTACTCTTTCTTATCATAAATAAAACAAAATAAAATTTTATTCAAACATATTTATTTGAAATATGAGACAACGGGACTAAATAAATATAAAAAATAAAGAATTGAATGATTTCTACAGCAATTACTTAATTATATGCAATTTTAACGTAAATTAGTAAGGTATAAGCATGACTTACAGTAATTTGTAAATAAATACGCGTATTCACAGCCATCAAGGATAGAAAACGGGGGCAGACATGAAAACGGGAGCCTTATACAAAAATCTGAAAACAGAAAAACAATTTTTTTTATACTAAAATTAACAATGTATATAAATATACTGTTTAAAAAAAGCGTCCATTATTCCCAAAGAGACCTGGTTTGTAAATCAAAAAGAAGCAAAAAGAGACTTTTAGTCGGATCACAATCAGATTGTATCAGTCAGATTTACTGCATTATTGACAATAAATCGCACATACTGGAGATGAGATAACTAATGTTGGCTATAGTTCAAAATGATCTTACCTTGCTGTAAATTGTTTCCATTTTCAAAAAAATCGCCGATCATAAACATAACAAAATTTTCTTGCATCTAAAAAATACAGAAATAGTGTTTATTTACTACCTATTTTTAATATACATGGGACATACCTAGTACTGCAGAAACGTCTTTTTCTCCAGGATTGTTCATGTAATAATATATTTTATATGCTTTACTACCTTTATATTTATAAATTTCTGCCGAAATATCAAACTGAATTTACAAAACAAAACTAACCGGAGAGAATTAAAATGGCGTCGAAATTTGTTCCAGAACAAATCTGAAGTTGTCTCTGAAATCTGTCAATTCTAAACTGTGAAGTTAGACAATAGTTAGACAGAAACATTGTTGTCCTTGTCTAGGCGGCCATACTTGTCGTCAGGAGATGACAGGATTGACACTAATGACTGTTTCCTATTTTCCTATTTCACTGTCACCCCCCTGCTTTCACTAGGAACATGACACTTGAAGAAGAGGAGATATTTTTTTGTGATTAGTGAGGTAATATTTTTTTTTTTTGAAAAATCATTTATTTAAAACATCAATTTTTATAAAATTTAACAGTCTACTTATAATATGTACTTATATGTATAAAGATGATTCAAAGTAAATGTGAGCTCCTAAACAATGCATTTTAAGCATTGGTAACAGAGTTTCAACGATAATAATTATGTTATATACTAATAATAATGTCAAAGTGGCAATATTAATATTATTTAAAACTAAAACTAAAACTAACAGCCTGCACTAATAATTAACAAAGCATAATTTGAGTCCTTTAATAAATTGATTGTAATTAAGTTCACATTTTATGTCTATTGGTAGAGGTTGTTAAATGTTTGAGCTGCTTCAGCAATAGGGTTTCTTAATGCTATATTGGTTCTGGCGCTATTAAGCCTTATATTATTATCTACATATCTTAGTTGGTAGGAATGAATGTTGTTTGTATGAATTCATACGTTGTAAGAATTGTACGTAGAACATATCGGTCATTTTTTAACAGGTAATTTATAGAGCGCTTTTCTTAGAGTATTGCCTTATTATATATTATCCAAGAACGTTGACTGTTCTTGGGTATTCTCTATTCGTCAGGCGTTACTGAAGTCTTAATACCGTATGATCGAATAAAAACGGCGTCAGCGATGGCTATGGAATGAAGATCGCTGTCATTTTATATGTAAAATTATATGGGAAATGTCATCTGTATTATATTGCTAGCTTATAACAATAATAAACAAGTCTAATTAAACACATTTATTAAACATCGGGTTCATCAAATATAAAAGTAGCTTTTTACTGGCTAGGCGCCATTCTAAAATCTAACAATCAACTGCCCAAGTAGCATTTTCACGACTTGCGACCACATGTTTACTAAACACAACGTTGGATTAGTTACAAAAAATAGTTAGCTCCCTACCTTGGGTATTAAAATAAATTTAAACGTTTTTATAACGTTGTGCCGACGTTGGACTAGTACTACAGCAAAGTAGAAGCTTCTGCGACGTCGAATAAACGTTGTCTTGTAACCTTTTTTGCTTAAGTGATCTTTAGGTGATTCTGACAACGTAGTTACAACGATGGACAATATTGAGTTTTCCGACGTCAGTTTCAGGACCTATTCTAACGTTATGCAAACGTCGTCTGTTTTACGAATTCCAACGTTGTTTAGATTTCCTTATTCTTACGTTGGTAGGACGACTTGGTCACTTTCTCCTGTTTGCAACTGTATACGAACCATAACCTTAAATCTTTAATTTTCACTTCATTGTTCTGTTCAGTCAGACAGTTCAGTGCTGTTTTATTTTATTTAAAAACTTAATTAAAATGGGACATATTTATCTCTTTACCCATACAAAACTAAATTTAAATATACATCGACATATATTACCGATAGTTTATCCACTCCCTCGTTTATTTACGATTATAGAGGGACGGCACAAGCTCCCCACCACTCTAGGATGACTAAATTAGCGCAAATTGGCGACTAGTATACTACCTCTTAAGGCCGAACTGCGATTTTATTAGTCCAGTATGCGACTACTCGAACTACTCCATCTTAATCTCCAAAACAACAAAGTGAAAGCCGCCATGTTGTTAAATAAGAAAATGTTTCGTTCCTAAAATAGCAATTCCTGCTTTTTGAATACATTAACTTGAAATATTTGACCCTAAACAACACGCGGAAACACATTTTTCGACTGCAAATAAATTATTCTCATTTTACTAAAAAAAAATTGAAGAAATTTTTTAAAACTTCTTTAATTTTAAGGCCCATTAGTATTTTTCAAAGTAGAAACAATACATTTATCAATAAAGTTGTTTGCGTTTAACTTTTTTGCCTTGGGTAACGAGTTACAGAGTCGGTTAAAGTGTTTCAATAATTATGATCTTCAAACATCCTCCACACTTAAATACTTTTGTTTTGTTTTTCTTCACTGCCATCTGACATATGTCTCTAACTAAATCATAAAAATAATATTTTTACTATAATTATCGCAATTTAGGATAAAACGCGACTTAGACGCCATATTAATTTTATATTTCTATGAATTAGGATTTTAAACAACGTTGCAGTTTGTACTAAATTAGGCTTCTAGCCAACGTCGGTATCCAACGTCGTTTCGACCCAAAAATTATTCTCCAAACTAGTACAGACGTTTGGTCACGTGACACAACGTTGTCCTGACGTCCAAATGCTGCTTGGGTGTCATTCTGACATAGACATAGACATATGTCAATACGGGTTGTACATAACATGAAATAATACTTTATCCTACATCATCGATCGTAATTTCATAGCCATCGCTGACGCCGTTTTTATTCGATCATACGGTATCTTTTGTTAACAAGTTGCATCTTTGACTTTTAGCATTATGAATGGAGTAAAAAATATCACGTAGGCTGCGATCAGAATAGACGCCATATTTCCAGTTGCCAGATTTTGCGCGTTATCGTTTGTATTGGTTTGTAGTGTATGTGCTACGGGTAAGAAGCGATTCTAACTATAACGTACCGTCACCGCCACGTCGAGCCGCCGCGTCGACTGGTCAAAAAACATGAAGTAAATGGGAAACAGACGTTGCCAACACTACCACGTTGGTAGTGTTCATTGTTGGCAATTTAAGAATATTTACCGCCGATTGAAAGAATTTTTACCGTGATGCCGGCGGCTCGACCTGATGGTATGTTATAGTGAGAATCGCGCATAATGTATACCGTCAAGTAGGCGTCGGCGTGGCGTGGCGTGGCGTGGCGTGGCGTGGCGTGGCGTGGCGTAGCGAAATCAGTCGCGGAAATGGCCACGGAACGATGGGTGGCCAACTAATCTCTAGAATGGTGAAAAAACTCACCAGGGCAGAGACCGGCGAAAAAGTTCATACTAGGACATTCGCCAACATTCACGGCGTCTACTAACTGTAGACGCACTCGGATCTACTAACAGGGCATTGTAAGCTGAATAGGAATCTAAAGCTAATGGAATTGATTCGTAGCGATGCGATGAGTAGGTTCTTGGGTTCTGTCAATTTAAAGAAGAAACGAGAGAACACATTTTATGTTAGTGTGACAGCCTGGTAAATGTGCGGTTCTCGGTAATAGGCAAGAATAGGCTATTGCCAGAGTGCTACGTGGAGGGTTCAGTCTCCAAGATTATAGACTTTATGAAAATGATAGGACTGGAGAATGTAATCTAAGAATTAGAAGAGGAACACAATAGATCTGAGAAGGTCACAGTGGATTAGGCCGATAGCTACCTCTAGCATTTTAATTTAATCTAATCTAAAGTTACCGATCGACTATACCGGGTACGTCTCAAAAGTGACTCGCACGTCCCCTCACCCC